TGTTGCTGTGTTTAGGTGGTTTCCAGGGCATTTCTATGTAGTTGCTAAGGTGTTCTTACTGGTTTTAGTGCTGTACAGTTTCAGAGTGTTCTGCAGTTGCTCAGGTGTTGACTTAACATGTTGTTGTGTGGTTGTTAGGGTGTTCTGAATGGGTGCTAGGGTGTTGGTAGGGAGTTTGGCTGGTTGTCAGGGCATTGCTATGTGGTTGCTAAGGTGTCCTAACTAGTTTTAGTGCTATACAGTGTCAGAGTGTTATGCAGTTGCTCAGTGTTTTCTTAACATGTTGCTGTGTTTAGGTGGTTTCCAGGGCATTGCTATGCAGTTGCTAAGGTGTTCTTACTGGTTTTAGTGCTTTCAGAGTGTTCTGCAGTTGCTCAAGAGTTGACTTAACATGTTGTTGTGTGGTTGTTAGGGTGTTCTGAATGGTCATTAGGGCATTGCTAGGGTGTTTGGGTGGTTGCCAGGGCATGGCTATGTGGTTGCTAAGGTGTTATAACTTGTTTTAGTGCTATACAGTTTCAGAGTGTTCTGCAGTTGTTTAGCGTTTTCTTAACATGTTGTTGTGCAGTTTTTAGGGTGGTCTGAGTGGTTGCTAGGGCGTTGCTAGGTGTTTGTGTGGTTGCCAGGGCATTTCTATGTTGTTGCTAAGGTGTTCTAACTGTTTTCAGTGCTATACAGTTTCAGGGAGTTCTGGGTGGCTGCTAGGGTGTTGCTAGGGTTTTTAGGTGGTTGCCAGGACATTGCTTTATGGTTACTAAGGTGTTCTAAGTCGTTTTTAGCACATTACTAGGTAGTTGTCAAGGTGTTCCAAATGGTTTCTAGGCTCCATGATTGTCTGGACATTACTTTATAGTTACTAAAGTTTTCTAAATGCATTGCTGTAAAGATGTCAGGATGTTATGTGTGGCTGCTAGGGTGTTTATTTATTTGCCAGGGCATTGCCTGTGGTTTCTAAGGTGTTCAAAATAATTTTAGCATGTTGTTATGTGGTTGTCAAGGTGTTCTAAGTGGTTGCCAGGGATTTAAGTGTTTGTAGTATAGGTCATAATTGTAATTCTAACAACTTAGAAGAGTAAACATCTCTCCTCAAAAAGTCACATGATATTTAGCGAGATAATTTAGCAAACTCCACTAAAAACACAGGTGCTTCATATTGATGACTTTTGAATATAATTGGAAAAGAAATTAAATAAAGGAAAAATTAAAAAAAAAAAAATTCTTATAGTGCTTGCATATGAGAAACTCCTGGTAAAACTGTGAGCTTTAATACTTTGCATTGTTTTCCATGGAAGGAAATGGCAAAAGCCTGGGGTCTTCCTGCAGACTTCCTGTTGGTACTACAGAGGCCTAACTTAGCAGGGTGGCGCTCACATGGCCCACGGGCAACATGAATTCACTTCTGAATAAACAGCAAAGGAGTAAAACAAGGTAATATATGAGGTGAGACTGAGACTCCTGACAGTGTCCGCTGATGATGTATTGAGAAATGAGAGTAGGAGAGAGTTAAATCCTCTTGCTGACAGAGAGAGTCTATTAGTGCTGAGTTCCTCTGACTCCGTGCATGTTCTCCAGCTTATTAGAAATGTTTGGGAGCTGCTCGTCCATGTTTAATAAAACCACAGCTTTTCTCTCAGCAGTCCCAGTCCATCCAGCAGTGGAAAATTTCAAAGAAAAATGCGATGAGGACGAATCCAATTTATAACCGCACGGAAAGCTGAGAAACCATTTGGGATTGGCAGCTCTCGCCATTGTAAAATTGGAAGCATCCTATTGTTTTGCTTTGCTTATGCTTATATAAACAGAAGGGAATGGGCAGATCTCTCAGGAAACATGACTGTGCATGATATCCACAGTGCCTGGAGGTGCAACGCGGCCAGTCCGTGACTGTTGACCAGCTACAAAGTATTGCACATTTTTCACACCCTGCGTGTTTGATAGCCGGCATTCCACCACTCTAGCTGAGCGCCAAGAAGAGCCGGACCGTTTGAGGGAATCACATGTGATGTTTTCATATACCTATACTCGGAACTGCTGCCATATAGCAGCAGGAGAGAGATGCATGCAGAGATTTAATCAAAATTCAGGTCTAAGTGCTCTCAGGAAGGTAATCATCACAGAAACGATGCCTTTTGGAATTACGGCTAAAATTCACCAGAACATTAATTGCATTTATTTGCTCTGCATTGCTATAGAGGGGGAAATGGTTTATTTCAGATTGTGAAAGACGTGTCATTAAAAATAAAGTCAAGCGGGTGTCCAATTTAAGATGTTACGAAAGAAGCACAGCAGCTGTTTTTATCAAACATGGGTGACGTCATATTAAAACGTCCAAAGGCCATTTTTAGTCAAACTTAGCAGCTTTAACATGGATTCCCAGCACCACCCAGGAGTTGTGGTCTGGGTGGCAGTATGGGCACAGGAAATGTAACTCACACATCGAGGTTTCCAGTAGTCTGTGGGCACAATGCCTGCTGTATATGGATTTTGACTCTCTTTACTTGCGTCCCCATCTTCCTCTATGAAAAAAACTGTACCTCAGACATGTTTGCCCATCCCTTGAACGGTTTCTCTGACATCCATTCTGTTTTATTGTTGAAATATTTTGTGGTACTAATGGTGACTCAGCATAAATTGTGTAAATGGAGAAAAAAAAGAAATATATATATATATATATATATATATATAGCTCTCTGATAAAGTGAATCATTACTTGCATTACTTGTAAATTTTTTTAATATATTAATTTATTTTCCTTTAAAAAAAATTTGAATGCAGACTGTGTTAACATTTTAACTGTAAGTGTTGTCCAAACTCATGAATTTCACACATATTTATACCAACTACTGAAATTGTTTTTGAAAAATCACATACCCTGCCTTTAAGCAGCACAACTGTTTTCAACATGGATAATAATACAAATTTTTTCTTTAGCAGCAAATCAGCATATTAGAATGATTTCTGACGGATCATGTGCCACTGAAGACTGGAGTTTTAAAATATATTAAAATAGAAAACTGTTATTTAAAATTGTAATAATATTTCACAATATTGCTGTTTTATAGTGTTTTTAATTTTTTTAATGGTAATATATGTGTTTATAAGACACTGGGCTTCAAGACCTTTTTTTTTTTTTTGCACCAGCTGATACTTTTCTTTTACCTTGTCTTGATGAAAAACTGCAGAATTTATCAGTTTGGCCTCTGGTATATGCAATCGC